GCATAGTGTCTGAGGCACTTGGCTGCTAATCAGAAGGCTGGCTGTTGAAACCCTCAGCCACCCCTTGGAAGGAAGATGGGGCAATCTACTTACGTAGTGATACTGCCTTGGAAACCCAAAGAGGGGTCGCTATGAATTGGATTCGACTCAGTGGCACGTCACAACAACAACAACAACACACACACACACATATATACTCCTATACACACACACACACACACACATGTATGTATGTATAATTTAATTTTTTCATGAGTAATGCTTGTAGGGTTTTAAGGAAAACTTAAATTTTCCTGCGGTTACTAGTGTTTCCTTCCAAAGCACTAAAACCTTGGCCAGGATCCTGAAAATGGCACACACAATTTTGTTTGCTAAGGAAAACGAACAAAGGTGTGTTAACAGTGGTTGACTACTTTGACTGATGTTGTAAGGTTTGGCTTAGGATAGTTGTGCACCTGGAATAAGAAGTGGTTGGCTTGGACCCCAGCTGTTAGTCTGAATTTCTTACATGACTTGCGTATCTACCCACAGTACCCTGTTTATCAAAACTACTATTACAGAGAGAAACACTGCTGCCACTGTGTCTAGACTGGAGCAGGGACAGTCTACTAGAAGCTAGAGGGAAGCAGTGTGCATGAGCCCAGATGGAAATGGGTAGGGGGATGCGATGAGAACTTTTGGTAGTTCCCTTGTGCTGGCTTCTTTCTTTCCTTTGAGAGGTAGGAGAGATTGGTTCATTTAGGCCCTCCATCTGGCAAAGTTGTGTTTGAGATTTATAAACCCATCCTTCTTCATGACCTATGTCAAAAGCTGCCTCCTCATGAATTCCCACTTCCTCATCCATTAACATGAAGTCTCTGGTTCCTCTCCAGACCCTTATCTCCTTCTCACCATTTAACTGGTCTTTACATGATGTGTGGCTGTCCCTCTCATCTCCTTGGGTTGGAATCTTACTGCACTCAGTCTCCCAGTGTCCTGGTACCAGGGAGCATTTCAGGCATGATCATAGATTGAATTATTTTAGAGTTCAGAATTCTCATAGGTATTATAGTATTGTTGTTGTTACATGCCATTAAGTTGATTTCTACTCATAGCTACTCCATGTGACAAAGTAGAACTCTGACCCAAAAGGTTTTCTAGGCTGTAATCTTTATGAGACCAGATCACCAGGTTTTTCTTCTGAGGAGCCTCTGGGTGAGTTTGGACTACCAGCCTTTTGGTTAGCAGCCAAGCACCACTGTGGCTCCTTGTTATAGTGTAAATAAGTGGAAATATTGTTTTATTTTGTTTGTCTTATAAGAGGATAGGAGCTCTGGTAGTGTAGTGCCTAAGGCACTTGACTGCTAACCAGAAAGCTGGCGGTTCAAACCCATCAGCCACTCCTCAGAAGGAAGATGGGGCAATAATCTACTTCCGTAGTCATATTGCCTCAGAAACTCAAGGAGGGGTCACTATGAGTCGGGTCCAACTCGAAGGCACATAACAGCAACAGCATAAGAGTAATGTTAAGTTTTACTTTCCTTCATTTTGAAAAGATGGTTTGTGAGTTCTGATGATTGTGCGTTGTCATAAATAGAAATTTTTTCTTTTCAGATAATGTGGATGCCTGTGATCTTAAGCAGTTTTTTGAGACCAACTATTCTCAGATATATTTCATCTTCTATGAAAATTTTATAACACTGGAAAATAGTTTGAAATTAAAAGGTAAGCTTTTCCACAGAGTTTTTTCTTTCTTTTTCTTTTTTAAAATCAGATTAAAACATTCAGGAAATTTTAGAAGTTGCATGTGTCAAAAGCCACAAGCCACAATAATAAGTATTTTCAATCCCAAGGTAACCATTTTTTATACTTTCTTGCTTTCCTTTAGCAAAGCTGTGAGATCACAGTGGACTGGTTGACATCCTTATTTCCCTTGATCTTTCTCTTATATACAGATGTTAATTGAACAACAAATGGCTAGAGGGCAAATGGAAGAAGCAGAAACTTAAGAAGGCATGAGTTCCGAAGGAATAATTTACTTAAAAAGGAAAAAGAAAGACAAATAATACATGTACACTGTAAAAAAAAATAAAATTCAGATACCACTGAAAGATTTTAAATGAAAATTGAAGTATCTGTTTTGCCCAGACTCTCAGTCCTGCTTTGTAGAGGCAACTACTATTAAAGGTTTCCTGTATCTCCTTCCATTTTTAAAAGAAGAAACAAGGTGGGTTTGAATCGCCAGCCTTCTGGTTCACAATCAGAGATGCCTTAGGCACTACCCACCAGAGCTCCTTGTACATTATTAATGGGTTTTATTTATGTATATTTATGGTTATGTTCATATATACATATATAAAATATCCTTTAAAAATCAAACCAACACAGTCATACTATATTTGCTTTGTATTTAGATGGTTTGTATTAAGTTTAATTGTTTCTCCTTGGTCATGTACTTAACTATTCGCTGGCTCAGGTTCCACATGTCAGCATTAAGAGTTAACTGGTACCCTAGGATTTCAGGACAGAGTTTGGCACATAATAATACATGTTTAGTAAACATTAACTGCCGTCATCATCTTCTTGCATTTTCATGTAATCTGTTTTGGAGATCATTCCATGTTAGCACAGATATTTCCACTTCATTTTTGAACAGTCACGTAGAACTACATTAAGTAGAAATGCCATAATTCCAAATAACTGACTTCTGAGTGACTGAGCCACAATCATTGAATTTTAAAGTTGGAAGTGTTTCAGGGTACTGGATTTTTCATACTCCTCATTTTGGAGTGGAGAAAACTGCATCCAGAGAGGTTACATTACTGACCTCAGGTCACACAGATTATTTAATTTCACAGCCGATTTGCAACCAGGTTTCCTGATGTTTAGTTCACAGCTCCTTTTTTTTGGAACCAGTAGTTCCCAAACTGTGGTTCCTAGACTAGCAGCATATGTATCACTTGGTAACCTGCTGAATCAGAAATTCTGGTGGTAGAACTGAGCAATCTATGTTTAACAAGCCTTTCACATGATACTTTACATGTGCTCTCAAATTTAAGAATCACTGTTCTATTTCATATTGCTCCCATTAAAAAAAAAAAATGCTGACATTAGACAGAGAGACATTGAAACAATGCATGCATTGCAGCAGTCTGTGTTGCCCACAGACAAGAATGCTTTATGCCTATGCCAGAGACCTCATGTCTGTGTGATGTTTTAGCATCCCAAAACATCTTCAAGTGCTGGTGCCTCTCAGGAACTAGCCTTGTGGATGGACCTTGAGTCTGATAATTCTGTGTTCCTCTTCCACTTAATCATTAATTCATTCAACTATCCAATATTTGAATGTTGAGAATGTGCCAGGCACTGTGCTAAAATCCACCAATGTAATAGAGGCTGAACATGCTTTATGGTGGTGGGGCATGGTGGTAAGACTGGTGTAGGAATATGCCATATGCATAATTAACTGTATAACAAGTTCGAAAGTCAGATGTGTTGTGAGACAGATACATAAAAAGTGCTATGATTGTTGAGAAGATGGGAGAGATGATTTCCCTCTGAGTATATGAGTGCAGCTTTGGGAAAGAGGTAGCTTTGGGGATGGACTGTATGTGGATTTCAACAATAGGGTAGAACACAAGCACAAGTGGGGAAGCTGATTTGAGAGCATGTGTGGGGAAAAAAAACATTTGTTTTTCTTGCAACATAAGGTGTATAAAAGAGATTCATAGGAAATCAGATTGGGTGATGTTTGCAAAGAGCCTTGAATTCCTGACTGAGGGGTTTGGACTTTGCTCCTTAGGTGTTGAGAGCCTTTGAAAGTATTTGCTACTAAGACTGGGTCTTGTAAAGTGTATTGTAAAGTGGTGAGTGAACAAGAGATACGAAGACTAATTAGGAGGCTAATACCCTCCTAATGTGAGAACAAGCAGTTTGGAGACATCTGATCTAGGGAGTTGGTGGTTAATGGAAGAGAACACTTGTATTTCTCAGTCATAATGTCCTATCCATGAAACTTGGATATAAGGAAAGGAGGTATGAAAAGGAGAAGTCAAAGATGGTTCAGGACATTGAGGCTGATTGTGAAGTGATATGACAGTAGTGGAATTATGGGAGGAAGCCAGGTTTAGGAGGTAAGATGAAGAGTGCATCTTGGGGCAGTCTGACCTTGAGGGGCCCATGGATAGCCAAATGTAGGTAATGAGCTTGGGAGAAGAGAGGTGAAATCATACTATTGCCAATGAGAGAGTATACATATACATAGAGAAAAAGTGATAGAACTAGGGAACGATTCTTTCATTTATTTGATGGAGAGAGAAAGGAAAGAGAAGGAGAAGTTAGAGAGGTGCCAGAAGAAGTGTATTGTCACAGAAATCTGGGAAGAAAAAGTACAGGGAATGAAGGATTAGCAATGTCTTATATTGCAAAAAGTTGAGAAGCAGCAGGACAAAGAAATGGCATGTTAAGGAGGTCATCAGTGACTACTGAAAGAAAAGCTGTAGGCAAGGAGCCAGAGAGAAATGGAGTGACTGAGTGATGAGATAGTGAAGGCTACATATGAGAATACACTTTTAGCAAGTTTGATGGTGCAGACAAAGGATTTTATCTCAAGGAGAAGCATTTTCATGGGATGACTTTTATAGGATGCATTTGTGTTTGCAGACTAGAAGAGAATCAACAAGGAGGGTGATAACTGGTGGTTTAAGGTATTGGAGGAAGTGAGTTGAGACAGGGTCATGTAAAAAGAAGAGGGTAGGAGAAGGAGTACATAGGGTGACAATTTTAAGGAGGAGCAGATAAGAGGATGAGTACAGATATAGACACTTGGGGTGGAGCAGAAAAACTGAGGGATTTCATGTCAGAAGCCTTGATTGCTTCTGTAAAACAGAAGGTAGGTGTCAAGCATAGAGGGGGAAGGAATTTAAAGCAAGTCACTGTGGTAATCTCTATCATATAGCAGCTGACTTGGTGCCTTAAAAGAATGTTCCAGGTGCTAGTAGATCATCAAGTCATATACAAGCATGTGCCCAGATGGCAACACAATTTTTTCTTCATGGATTGCTTATTTTTCGCCCTGTGATTGATGTATATTTATATGGTTTGTGTGTATGAGAGAACACAAACAAACACATTTATCTCTATATATTTGCCAAATTGGTAGGTATTTAAAATATGAAGTGATCCAATTTTTATCTTGCTTCCTAGCCTTGCTCCATCTCACTTTCATCTCACAGGTGTGTGGAGGAGAAAAATGTGGTGCCATGTGCAATAAAAATAGCAAAGAATAATTAAAAAAAAAAAAAAAAATGCACAGGGAACTGACAGTTATCACCATGCAAAAAATACTGGTATAGTGAACTTATGAAAAAAAAAAAAAATGCACAGGGATTTCCAAAGTTCTGCTTGCCTCATATTTGCTGATGTCCCAATGGTCAAAGCAGGTGGCATGACGTCTCACATTCAAAGGGTGGAGAAATAGGTGTCTCTTGATGTAAGGGGGAAAATTGTGACCATTTTTGCAATCTACCACAAAGTTATAATGAAGAAGCATGGTGAGATTTTGAAGTTCCTTGTTTTTAGCATAATTTGATTGAAGTACAGGAAAGAAAGTGTACTAAAAAGTAAAATGAAAAAGAAAATAAAGGAAAATGTTTACTGGGAATAATGAAATCATTTTGTGATAATTTTAGTCTTCTGGGTATTCAGACCAAAAGACTTGGAGTTGTTGGCTCTATCTTCAGAATACATCCAGAATCCAGCCACTTCTCATTGCCTACACTGGTACCACTGTAGTCCCATCATTGGATTATTACAACAGTCTCAGAAATGGCCTTCCAGCTTCCACACATATGCTTCTTCCTTGCCCTCTCCCACCCCTAAGTTTCTTTTCAGAAGAGCAGCAGGAGTGATGGCTTTGAAAGTGTGAGTCAGATCATGGTTCTCCCCTGCTCTAACCCTAAAAGGGCTTCCCATTTCCAAACTCATGACAGTGAGCTCAGGCCCACCCACTAACCTTAGCTGCCACAACCCTTTCCCTTACTTCATTCCAGCCACAAGGGTCTTCTTGCTGTTTCTTGATCATGCTAAGTATGTTCACCCATACGGACTTTGTACTATCCATGTCCCTGACAGGAACACTCTTCCCCTTATTTCTCTGTGTCTTGCTTCCTTACCTCGCTTTGTCCTTTGCTCAAAGGTCACCTTATCAGAGTGGCCTTCCCTGATTTTCTTACTCAAAATTATATTCCAATTTTTTCTGGGATTCTCCATTTGCTATCTGGTTTCCCCCTTGTTTTTCTCATGAGAATGTAGAATGTAAGCGTCCTCTGGGCAGAGATTGTTGTCTGTTTTGTACATTCCTACATCTCTAGGGCCTACAGTAAGCCTGTATAGTATTTGCTGAGTGAATGAATGATAATCTACTTCATAGAGCTGTGGGGATTGAGTTAGATCCAGGGTTCTACAAACTATGGCTCACTGCCTGTGTTTGTAAATAAAGTTTTGTTAGACAGAGCTACACTAACTCACTTACATATTATTTATGGCTTCTTTGCATCACAACAGTACAATTGAGTGGTTACAAGAGGCCTGCAAAGTCTAAAATATATACTCTTGGTCTTTTACAGAAAACGTTTCCTGACCCTCGAGTTTGATGTATGACAACCACTTAGCATAGTGCTTGGCACATAGAATGTGCACAATAATGGTAACACTGTTATAGTTCTAGTTTTATTATTGTTACCATCAAAAGGGCAGTGCACAATTGCTTAAAGAGATATATTTTTTTAATGATTATCACCTGCTCTATGCCTTTTTATAGTACAAAGCTAGAACTCTTTTTTTCTTTTTTGTTGTGTATTCTGCCATAATTTGAGCTCCCAAGTAACTTCTTAAGAATTTAATAAATAACCTGCTACTAGTTGGCAACAACTTGGAAAACATGGGAGCTCTGTTTAAGTAGCTAGCAGCAAGAGGCAGCTCTGCTAGAGGTAGACCTAGGCAATCTGGCTAAGTTGTCCATCTGCAGTCCTAATGTGTGCCACACACTACCTCTTGGTATTTTTTGAATAAATGAATTGGTGTTGAGGCTTAAATGATTTAAGATGCCTTTAAACATATTTTGTAATATTCTAATATTAAAATGTTGTATGATAACTAATTTATTTTTATATATTCCAGGGAATAATAAGTCACAAAGGGAGGAGCTGGACTCCATACTCTTTCTTTTTGAAGTAAGTTTTTATTAATTCATTTTGGTAATGGTATTGAAGATACATATCTTTCGTCATTCCCTCCCTCCCTCTCTTCCTTCCTCCATTCCTTTTTCCCTCCCATATTTATAATGTTACACAGAATATTCTCGTGATTAATATTTTTTTGTTTTTGCAAACATGGGAATATTTTTCCTGGTAGGTACCTAAGACATAAAATTGTTGGGTGGAAGAATATGTACAATTTAAATCCTCATAAATATATTGCCAGATTGCTTTCTGGAAAGGCCATATAATCTTATAAGTAAACATATGTAAATTTCTTATACCGTAATCAGCACTGGGACTGATTTATCTTTTTAATATATGCAAATATAACATGAAAAAGCTCACTGTTTTAATTTACATTTTTCTGGTTACTAGTGAGGTTGCTATCTGTGTGTATATATATATATATGTGTTTTGATCATAAATTGTTGCCAAAGTTGGAATAATGTTTGGGTGTGGTTTTTGATCTATTAAGCTTGAAGTCTTTCTTGTCCAAATATATTAGACAAGTGGTCAGATACCTTGAGAACTACATTCAGAACTGAATTATAGGATCAAAAAGTTAATTGTTGGTTGTATAGAAATTATTTGTGGTTGAAGGGCTTGTGTTTAGGGTGAAGTGAGAAGATAAATGTTTAAGACTGTAAAAGACAAGCCTGATGCATATTTGTGCACAGCTGGCTGGAGGAGGTCAGGGCTGGGAGGCTGTAAGAGAGTTTGGTGAGGGGCTTTCTGGGTCATGGAATAGAATGACCTAGGGAAGTCTTCAGCCCAGGTGTTGGCTCAGGGCTGGTGCTTTATTGACTGTGGTTCCCTTTTTCTCTGTTGAGGGCTATACTCCTTCCCCAGGGTAACAAACATTGATTATATATTGTGGAGGATGTTAATTGTGTTTCCTGTGGTTATCCTCCTGTGAAGCCTGTGCAGAGAAGGAGTTGTTTTTAGCAGATGCTGAAGTCTGTTACTTAAATATGTATTTACTGATTGCTATTTGTTTGAACTATTCCATTAACTTATTTTATTTATGTAATAACTCACTACCTTCTAGTGGATTTAGCTCATAGCAACCCCTCCTTGGGATTCCAAGGTGGTATCTCTGCAGAAGTAGATTGACCGGTCTTCCCTTTGAGGAGTGGCTGGTGGGTTTGAACCTCCAGCCTTCTGATTAGCAGTCAAATGCCTTAGGCCACCAGAGCATTCATTTATGTAATGTTGTTGTTGTTGTTATGTGCCATTGAGTTGAACCCGACTCGTAGCGACCCCTCCTTGGGTTTCCTAGGCAGTATCACTATGGAAGTAGATTGCTCCATCTTCCTTCCGAGGAGTGGCTGGTGGGTTTGAACCGCTAGCCTTCTGGTTAGCAGTCAAGTGCCTTAGGCACTATGCTACCAGAGCTCCCATTTATGTAATAGTTGATGCATTTACAAAAGAATCTATAACATATATGTAAGTTATAAACCATAATGATAAAGTCCACTCTCTTGACCCTACCCCCTCACCTCCATTTTAAGAACTAGAAGCTACTAAGGTGCTTCTCCATAACCTCATATTTTTTCTCCTCTGGAAGCAAACATTCACCCTGCATTTTTTTATTCCTTTTCTTTGAAAAGAATGGTTTTTACCACAGGTATTTGTATTCTTAAACAATGCATTGTATAGTTTTGCGTTTTTTGAGCTTGGAAAAATGGTGACATAAGGTTTGTAGCTGTCGGTGACTTGCCTTTTATGTGCAGCATTGTTTTTAAGATTCATCCATGTGTTTGAATATAACTCCAGTTCATTTATTTCTTCTGTGGGGCTAGGTATGTATGATTTATTTAATTCTGGTATTTTGTCTATAGTTTTTTTTTTTTTTTTGAAATTTTTTTTGTAGACAGATTATCTGTGAGTAATGATGATTTGATCTTATCCCTTCTAGTTAGTCTATTTTCTTATCTTTGTCCATTGGCTCAGCCCTTCAGCGCACTGTTAAGTAGATGTGATAAAGGTAGGCATCCTGTTTCTGCTTTTAAAGGAAGTTTTGTTAATGTTTCACCATTAAGAATAAGGTTTGCTGTAAATTTTTGGTAGATATACTTTGTCAGATTAAGGAAATTTGCTTCTATTCCTAGTTTGGTAAGATTTGTAAATAATCATAAATGCATTTTGAAAGTTTTCCATTTTTTTCTGCATTGATTGATAAGATTGATGATTCTTCTTGAAAATTAATATAAAGTGTATTTCTGGGTTTCTTTTGGTGGTTCATATTTTGTTTGCATTTTTAGATCTATGTTCATGACTGACGTTGACCTAAATTTCCCTTCCTAATGCTGTTTTTGATTGATTCTGTTATAAATGAATCTGTTACCTAATATTTCTTAAATTTATATTACATAGAATAGTTTGTATAAGGTTGGAATGATCATTTCCTTTAATGTTATTTAGTCTTTTCCTGTGAAAACCATCTGAAAAAGATTTGTTATTTTTATTTTAATAGGAAGATTTTTAACCACTCTTTCAGGTTCTTTAATAGTTTTAGTATTATTCAAATTCTGTATTTTTTTCATGATTCAGGTTTGACAAGCTATATGTTTTTCTAAGAATTTGTTCTTGTTACTAACGCTAAACTCTGCTTTCTGTTTAATTATTGTTCCTCTAAACTTCTCGCTGGTAGCATAGTGCCTAAGGCACTTGACTGCTCACCAGAAGGCTGGCAGTTCAAACCCACCAGCCACTCCTCGGAAGGAAGGTTGGGCAATCCTACTTCCGTAGTGATACTGCCTTGGAAACCCAAGGAGGGGTCGCTATGAGTCGGGGCCGACTTGACGGCAAATAACAACAACAACAACAACAAACTTCTCTCTGGGAGCTCTGGTAGTGTAGTGCCTAAGGCACTTGACTGCTAACCAGAAGGCAGTGGTTCAAACCCCCCAGCCACTCCTTGGAAGGAAGGTTGGGCAATCTACTTTTGTAGTGATATTGCCTCAGAAACCAAGGAGGGGTCTGACTCGATGGCATATAACAACAACAAACTTCTTGCTGGTTGCTGTGAAGATAGGTTCCTTAGTTTTTGGTGTTCTTAATTAATTTCACAACCAAATGTATAGTTGAAGATTTTTTACCTTAGTTGGTATAGATATACTTTTTGTATCTTTGGATTTGTATCTTTTATCACTTCTGGAAAATTCTCAAATATTGACACTCTCTCTTTTATTCTTTATGTCCATGCTTTCTATAGTTCTTATTTAAACTTTTGATCTGTTCTATGTGTCACTTAAGGTTACTTTTATCCTACTCCCATGATCTGTTTGTGTTGCATTTTGTGATATTTCTTCAGTTCATTCTTCCAGTCCACCAACTCTTTCTTTGAGTTTTTCTACCATTCAGCCAATTTATTGAGTTGTAAATGTCACTGATTCCTTTTTTTTTTCCTTTATTCTAAAAGTTCTTTGGTTTGGTATATGTGCCTGGTTGCTTTGGATAGTTTCGATCCTTTTTCATTTTTAAACACCTTTTATTTCCTTAAACATTTAATAGGAAATATTTCATATTCTATTTTGATAATTTCAAAATTTGAAGTCTTTGGTATTGTAAATCTGCTGGTTGTGTCTGCTGTCTCTTACGGTGACTTATTTTCTTATATATTTGTGATATTTGATTGTGATATCAGAGTTAATTGGGTTTAATTGGTTAATCCTGGTTTCTTCCACAGGGTTGGTCTTTATTTTTGGCAGGAGTGAGGGAGTGCACTTGATCTGGGACCACTTTAGCTCTGTTTGAAGATCCTGTATATTAATGGAATCTCAGGTTCAGTTCCCCAAACTGACCTAGGAGTGTGGTTTGGGGGATTGGCCACCACAGACAATGCTCTTTGGTAACCCTACATTCTTTCCTTTTTCTTGTTGCTCACAGGTCAGGTTTGGGCTCACTTTTTTAAAAAATATATTTTATTGAAATATAATTTATGTACAGTGGAATACACAAAACTAAAGTGACATAGGTCATTGCATTTTTTTTTTTTTTTGGCATTGGTCTCTCCCTTCCCCTCCCACCCCTGGTAACAAAGAAAATTTCCTTCCATATGTAAACCTTTCCTTGACTTTTTAAAATAATGAGCTAATACTGTATTTATCCTTCTGTGATTGACTTATTTCACTCAGCATAATGTTCTCCAAGTTCATCCATGTTATGCAGTGTTTTGCAGATTCTGTTATTCTTTAGCGTTGTGTAGTATTTCATTGTGTGTATGTACCATAGTTTGGTTATCCATTCTTCTGTTGATGGGTATGTAGGTTATTTCTGTCTTTTTGCTATTGTAAATAGTGCTGCGATGAACATGGATGTACATATATCTGTTTTGCCTTGGCTCTCACTTCTTTAGGATATATACCTAGTAATGATAATGCTGGGTCAAATAGTATTTCTAATTCCAGCTTTTTAAGGAATCTTGGGTCACTTTTCTTCTGCCACCTTCCCTCTTCTCTCCTGCTTCATCCCCTATCTTTTTTTTTTTCTTTCCTTTTTTCTTAGTTCCATGTTGGTTTCTCTTATCTCCCCCAAAGCCTTGCAGTGTTTAAGAACACACATGCTGCTGTTGATCTCAACTGTAATTGTGTGGCAGAAGAACACCTTTCAGACGTCCTTTCTCACGGAAGGATCAATGCCTTCCTTTCATGTCTACAAATTCTAAACTAGGAAGAGTGCATTACTATTTACAGAGGATTAGTTTCCTATATAGGGTTGCGATGAGTCAGAGTCGACTTGATAGCAACAGGTTTGGTGTTTTTTTTTTTTTTTTTAAGATCACTATGTGGTAGAACAGGAGCCCTGGTGACACAGTGGTTCAAAGCTCAGCTGCTAACCAAAAGATTGGCAATTTGAACCTACCAGCAGCTTTGTGGGAAACAGTTGTGGCAATCTGCTTCTGTAAACCTTGAAAACCATGTTGGGGCAGTTCTACTCTGTCCTTTAGGGTCACTATGAGTCAGAATTGA